AAGAGAGAGAGAGAGAGGTTGAATGACAAAATTGAAATATCGGTCAAATTGCGGCCGCAATCTATTTCGCAGTTGGAATGATTTTTTTAAATTTATGTAGCGTTTGTCCTGGAAAGATCACAACAAAATTTATGAGTACTCCAATTTTCAGGTTTTTTCACGCATTCTTCTGAGCGTGAAAACTCACTGAATTTGGAGTACTTTTTTAGTTGGCCCAGGCATGGCTGAGTGGCAAAAATGGAAAATGTGTTGAATCGGCGTGACAATTATTTCGCAGTCTAAATGATTTTTTGTAAATTTTCTATTATTATTTCTGGAAAGAACACGACCTCATCTATGGATTCTCAAAATTTCAGATTTTTGTGCATGTTCGTCTGAGCACAGAAAATCGCCAAAGTTGCCTCTTGCAAAACGCTTGTTTCGTTGTGCCTTACCTCCATGTTTTGAGAAGACGGGGCTCAACGCCTGGGCCTGAGGGCCCTTTTGCAAATCACATGCCCTCACTTATTTTTGGGGTCCGCTTCTACTCGAGGACCGGTCCAATGCCCCCATTTCTTTTTGGGGTCCACTTCCACCCGAGGACCGGTCCTTCGTTTTTCCAAAAGTCCCGGTTCTACCAGAGCTAGCTGTAGGTAGTCTGCAATTTTGCCAAGGACCGGTCCCCAATTTTTTTTGCCACCAAAAAACCCACTTGCGTCCTGGTCGCCCGCCGCCAAAAATGCGACACCTTGACACAGACCCCGAAGCCCACTATATCGCAGCCTATGGGCTGCGAACTTTGGCGATTTTCTGTGCTCGGAGGAACATGCACAAAAATATGAAATTTTGAGAATCCATAGATGAGGTCGTGTTCTTTCCAGAAATAATAACAGAACATTTACAAAAAATCTTTTACACTGCGAAATACTCGCCGCGCCAATTCGGCACATTTTCCATTTTTGCCACTCAACCATGCTTGGGCAACTAAGAAAGTACTCCAAATTCAGTGAGTTTTCATGCTCAGAAGAATACGTGAAAAAACCTGAAAATTGGAGTACTCATAGATTTTGTTGTGATCTTTCCGGAAAAAACGCTAAATAAATTAAAAAAATCATTCCAACTGCAAAATAGATTGCGGCCGCAATGTGACCCATATTTCAATTTTGCCATTCAGTCTCTCTCTCTCTCTCTCTCTCTAGAGTAGTCCCCGCCCCCCCCCTCTCTCTCTCTCTCTCTGGTAGGCCCCCCCTCCCTCTCTATCTATCTCTTTCTCTCTCTCACACTCATAACAATAAATGGAACAAAACTCTCTTTCTCTCTCTCTCTCTCTCTCTCTCTCTCGTGTTAGCTCTTAGTCTCATTGATTTGGCTACCTTAGGGCTGCATTCCCCGCGCCCACGCGGTAGACAATGAACATCAGCAGACTCTGCTAAATGCCAATCGGGGAATCCAGTGGTCTATCTCTAGGTGGCGGGCGCCAAGGATGCCCAGGAAGGTACATGAGGCCAATGGGGATTGAACCCACGACCTCCTGAATGCCACTTGCGAGCCTTACCAACTGAGTTAGGCCGGTGGATCACTTTATGTTCTCAAGAACCACCATTCCTAAAATGCCGAGGTCGAAAGAACAAGGACCATTCAATTCCTAACGATGGTCCCAGTCATCCACAACCCCTCTAGAACCGTCATCCACAGCCCTTCTAGAACCCATCCACAACCCCTCTAGAACTCACACAGCGCCGATGGGACCGGAAAAATGACGAGCTATACCGCAGCCTTTAGGGCTGAAATCGGCTCAGGATATCACCAGTGCATGGGTGTACTGTTCTGCCACATGGACTGCGTTTTCCCCATTGGGGTTATACAAAAAAGATGTTTCTTCATGTGAACCTTTTCTTGATTGATTTCCCTATATAGCTTGATTGATTTTTGTTGTCGTGTTCCAGAACTGTCCGTGGTACCGGAACGGTCTCCGAGGTCGATGGACAAGGGGGGGGGGTGTGGGGGGGACGGGGGGTATTTTCTACCCTTGGCCAATTTCACGCAGAACTCTGCGAGTGACACGTGGTGCAAGGCTGAGACGGACAAGTCAGCAAGGATCAGGTGAAAAATCAATCATCGTAGTCTTCATGCAGTGCACGTGAAATCTCAGTGCGTCTCGTTTTTGACCAAAATTCGTTCCGTTGACTTTTCGTCTCCAGTGTTCTTGTTCGTGCTTCGACGGGAAGGGGTCGAGTTTTGGCGGGAAAGCCGGATGGGAGCGATATTCGGCGGGAAAACCGGAGAGCAGCGATCTTTGGCGGGAAAACTGCCAATCAAGTTACGTTAGCTGGAGGGAAAAAAAGGAGGAAGGAAAACTGCATGGGATCGAGTTTTGGCTAGGAAACCGGAGAGGAGCTCGCTTTTGGCGCTTTGGCGGGAAAGAGCCCGAGAAAATCGAGTTTTGACGCGTAATGGTTGCAGGCACTGAGTGAGGTAAAGGGTAACGGTGCATTGCCATTACGATCATAGCGAGCGAGCGAACGAGAGAGAGAGAGAGAGAGAGAGAGAGAGAGAGAGAGAGAGAGAGAGAGAGAGAGAGAGAGACGTAACTGAATAGAGGAAGATAGCTGGTATCGCTGCGTATTAGTGGAAGGACGGTAGCTGTGATTAGTGGAGCGGGGGAAGGGGAAGGGGGGAGGAGGCAGAGGGGAGGTGGGGGACAGGACGGGCCATCGCTGTGGTCACTTGAATCTTCTGGCTTCGTTAGGGAGAAGCTTCTATCTCTCTGTCTCTCTTTCTCTCTCTCTCTCTCTCTCTCTCTCTCGCTCGCTCTCTCTCTCTCCGTTGTCTTTCCCTAAGGGGCGCCACGTCATCGATCTGATTTAGAGATTAGGGGATCGAGGCCGGCATTGGTTGAGGGCGGGGGGTAGGAAAGGCGCCACGTGAGCCATCTCCACGTCATCGGTCTGGATCTCCTTAATTAGTTAGCTGATCATCACCACTGCTCTCTCTCTCTCTTTCTCTCTCGCTCTCTCACAGAGTATGCACGTAGAAGGAGCAGAGACCTACAGATCGGGATCGCGATTCCATTTTCAGCGAGTGCGTTACTGAGGAGGGGGTGAGTTGTGGACCTCAAATAGGTAGGTAAGCAGACCTGTGGATAGCGATCGCGACTCCGTGCAGGTGGTGGAGTCATCCCGATCGCGACTCCATCCATTGATCCATTGTCATCACTACCGCTACGTCGTCATCGTCATCACGATTGCCACGTCATCCCTCCCTCTCTCCATCGCGCTCGTCTCACCGTTATCGCGATCGCAAACCGCCACGTCATCGTCGCGATCGCAAACGCCACGTCATTGTCGCGAGCGCAACCGCCACGTCATTGGCGCGATCGCAACCGCCACATGATTGTGGCCTTTGCGATTGCCGCGTCATTGTCGAAGTCGCGATCGCAACCGCCACGTCATTGTTGCAGTCGCGATCGCAACCGGCACGTCATTGTCGCCTTCGCGATTGCCAACGTCATCGTCGCGGTCGCGATTGTCACGCAATTGTCGCGATCGCGCCACGTAATCGTCGTCGGTATCGGGATGTCATCGATTTGTCTTTAATACTGTTTTGGTATAGGGTGCTCTGATTATATATGTCTCGCTAAGGCGAAGAATCCGTCTTTATCTTGTTCTTACTAAGCAAACACGCAAAGAGAGAGAGAGAGAGAGAGAGAGAGAGAGAGAGAGAGAGAGAGAGAGAGAGAGAGAGAGAGAGAGAGAGAGAGAGGTGGGGCGGAGTGGAGTGGAGGAGAGAGACGAGGATCGTTCTTCATTATTCAGTTGGAGTGCACGAGAAGAACAACACGGCGTTTTGTCGTTTAGTGCGCCGCCATGTCCACGTCATCATCCTGTGACAGCAGTCGGCGATGGCGCGCAGCTTTCTTCGTCTTCTTCTGTTTCCTCGAGACAGGTAACGTTGATGAGGTGGGAAAAAAAAAAAAAAAAAAAGGAAAAGAAAAGAAAAGTAAAAAACAACAGAAAAAGAAAGCGCTTGATTGTTCATCTATCCCCCTCTTGCTTTCTACTTGTCCGTCGTCTCTCCTCCCTTTCCCTCTCTCTCTCTCTCTCCCGCTGTGACTCCTTTTCTCTCTCTTCCAACTCTCCCTATTCGCTCCCCCCCATCCCCCCCACCTCTCTCTCTCCCTCCCCCCCCCCCCCCCCCCCCCCCCCCCCCCCCCCCCCCCCCCCCCCCCCCTCCTGCTCTCCTCTCGCTTCTCTTTCTTTCCTTCCTGCTGTCCTATCTTTCCCACTTCTCTCCTCTCCTTCATCATTTGTCCATCTCTAATTGTCCCTTGCGTCCCTCCCTTCATTCTCTGCTCCCCTTTCTTCCTCTCCCTCTCTCTCTCTCCCTCTGTTTCTCCCTTTTTCCGCCTCCTCTCTCTCCATCTCGCTTCCCTCTCCTGCTTCTCCTCTTCCTCCTCCCTCCTCCTCCGTCCGACTCTCCCCATCTCCCCCTCCCCCCCTCCTACCCCTGTCTCTTATACACATCTAGATGTGTATAAGAGACAGCCTCCTACCCTCCTCCTCCATCCTCATCCTCTTCTTACCTCCTCCTCTTCTGTCGGTTTCTCTCCTTCTCGCTTCCCGCCGTTCATGCTCATCTATCTCTAACGTTGTATACCGTTATATTTATTATTATTTTACTGCCGTCTTCCCCCGAACATAACGCACCCTGAAAATGAGTGTATACACGCTATATTTCCGGTTCGGTACAGCCATAATCAGGGTGCGTTGTGTTCCGGGGAAGACGGTAGTTGGATCTCCTGCCATATGTATCATTTTAAATGATTTTTACTAATTGAATCTCCTGCCATTATTAGGCTACCAGCCGGGCCGCCCGGGTCACCCTATTTCCCCGGGCGGCCCGGCCGTGCAAGGACCAGGGAAGGTCCTAACAAAAAAAAAAAAAAAAAGAACGCGAAAAAATCCGGAAAAAAACTATGTTATGAAGAAAAATAAACTGAACGACTTTTGCCTCAGGGTCGCATCGAAATTCTTTACCAAATTTAAAATAAAAATTTAAATCAAAAATAATTTATTATTTATTATGTTTTCATTTTTTTTGGCCCGGCCGAGCAAGTGGTCCCGGGCCACTCTGGTAGCCTAACTGCCATGTGTATTATTTTTTATTATTTATTTATTTAAAATATTTTTCTAATTCCAAAAAAAAATAAAAAGAATTAACTAAAATTATT